AATTGCCAAACTTTTGTGTCAACACGATGTGACACTCCTAGACACAGGGGGATACTTGTATGGGTAGCTGTCTGTCATCATAGAAAAGTTCGGACATAGAGATGAAGTGTCCTAGCTTATGGACGCAAAGTTTGGACACAGCAGAGACGAAGTGTCCTAGTTTATGGAGGCAAAACTTGCCCTAACAGGAGCAGAAACTCATGAACTTTTGCTTTAAATCTAAATGCTCTACCACGAACGGTTATGAGCCCTAGATGACAATATATTTAGAATTTAATTAGTAATATAAGTCTTTGATGCAAATTTGAATAAACAACGAAGAACTAAAAAACGTTTATGATAATTAGATTGAAAGTAGGCTATATGACCTTGGGAGTAGAAGTAAATTATGCCTCCCAAGAAATATAGAATGCATGGTCTATTGTCAAAAGAAAACTTTTTAATTTGAGTTTTGTAAAGACGTCATCATCGAAAAATTAGATGATGTCTATTCAACCTCGAGATATTATTGTTTTCAAGTGCTAAAGGATACAACTAAAAAATACTTTTTATTGAGGTTAATATGTGTTGAAAAGGTTACATTCCCCAATTTGGGGACCTAAAATGAGTACTAGATGAAGTAATGCGGGGGAAAGTTAAATAGACATTGTACTCCCGTGGGAGTATACTATCTTTGGGTTTAAAATACTATTTTCACGCCCTAAAAATCTAAACAAAATCAATGTACGAGAGCGCCATTACACACTGGTGTGTAGCCGCCACGTCTCATGGGGGCCTCACAGACCTGCACCAGACGCTTCATCTTCAAAAAACGTAACCCTAGACAGTTCACCTCCATCCTTCTCTCTGCAACTACCTCTAAAACACGTACCACTGTTTGCAAAACCCAACAATTTCTTGACTCCATCAACGCTCTCTGTGACCAAGGCCAATTGGACCAGGCCATAACACTTCTGCAAGAAACAGATCATCAGGACATTAAAAAGAGGTTTCCAGCTTACTGTTGCCTTCTTCAAGCTTGTTCTGAATCAATGGCGGCCTCCCTAGCCCAAAAGGTCGAAACCCACATGGCCAAAAGCAGTTTTCCCCATTGCCTCTTCTTAAACAATAGACTCATCAATATCTGTTGTAAATCTGGTTATATTATAGAAGCTCGTAAAGTGTTCGATGAAATGTCTGAAAAAAGACCTCTTCTCGTATAATACAATGATTCACGGATATTGTTGTTTTGGCGTGTTGGATGATGCACGCCAAGTTTTTGTTCAAATGCATGAGAAAAATCAGTTTTCATGGGCTATCATGATAGGTGGGTATGTGCGCCATGAATATGCATTTGAAGCTCTTGAAATGTTTGTTGATATGAATCGAAGTGGACTTAAGCCTCATCCATTTGCTTTAGTTGGAGCCCTTCGTGCTTCAGTCGTGGCTGGGAGCTTAAACCATGGGTTGCAGATTCATGCTGTAGTGTTAAAGATTGGTGTTTTTATGGAAGAAACAGTGAGGAATACCTTGTTGGACGTATACTCAAAGCTTGGAGACATGGAAGAAGCTTGGCATTGCTTCGAAGAGATGGGGAAGTTGGGTGATGCTGTCTCTTTTAATTCTTTGATTGCAGGTTATGCAAGGCTTGGAAAGGGGGAATTATCTCTGGTTTTATATGTTCAGTTTCTTAGAACTGGTCTGAGAATCTCTGAATTTACATTTGTCGGAGTTCTTAGTGCTTGTGCTGGAATTTCAGGCCTTGTTGAAGGCAAACAAATTCATGCTCTGGTCTTCAGGACTGGTTTCGAGGGCCATGTCTTTGTGGCCAATGCAGTTATGGACATGTATGCAAAATCAGGGGAGCTCGAAAGTTCTTGGAGAGTGTTTGTGGGCACGTATCATAGGGATAACATTTCATGGAATGGCTTGATCAGTGGGTATAGTAGAGAGGGCTTATCAGAGGAAGCTATGAATTTGTTCATAGAGATGTTGAAACATGGAGTTGCTCCCGACGACTTCACCTTTCCGAGCATTTTGAGCTCGTGTGCTAGTATTGGTAGCTTGGCACTCGGTATGCAGGTTCACTGCAAAACCATCCATTGTGGGCTCGAATCCGATGTATTTGTATCTAATGCTATCATTGATATGTATGCAAAATGTGGGTCATTAGAGTCAGCAATGTTTGTTTTCAATGAGAGGTCTAACCTCAACACCATCTCATGGACGGCCTTGATTGCTGGTTATGCACAAAATGGGTTCAATGAAGAAGCCATTAAACTCTTCACCCATATGCTCAAATCAGATTTTAAACCAGACAACGTCACCTTCGCTAGTGTGCTCAGTTCTTGTGCGGGCCTAACTGCTCTTAATTATGGCAAACAGGTGCAAGTCCATGCAATAAAACTTGGTTTTGATTCAAATATATGCACCGCAAGTTCTCTAGCTGGTATGCATGCTACATGAAAGACGCATCAAAGCTCTTTAGTGCAATGCCCATTCGAAATTTGGTGACATGGAATGCCATTATAGCTGGCCACGCACATAATGGAGAGGCTGAGAAAGTGCTTGAACTATTCAGAACAATGGTAGAACAGGATGGCATTGCCCCTGACCATGTCACATATGTGAATGTGCTCCATGCATGTAGCCATGCAGGGATGGTCGAGGAAGGGTATTGGCACTTCAGGTCCATGAGTGAAGATTTTGGAATTACCCCTTACCTTGACCATTATGCATGCATGGTTGATCTGCTAGGGCGCTGTGGCCGCTCGATGAGGCCGAGGAGTTTGTGGAGTCCATGCCTATTGAGCCTGATGGGGTAATATGGGGGGCCTTGTTGGG